ATATTCTGGAACTTAGCATACAATGCCTCTTTCACTGATTAATCCCCAGAATATTCAGACACAAGTTAAACACAGTTAACATTTATATTGATACCTTTACCCGTACTTCAACATAGATCAAGCCTATACTTATTGTTCTTAAGCTACAGTCAACCACTCTACTTATCCACAGTATTCATAGCCTTGCTGAATATTCCCATCAACAATACCTATTAATCTTCAACTAATTTTGTTAAAGTTTAATAAGTATTGTTAGCCCATTCCCTTTGGGGAATAACCAAATCAATCCCAGGTGAGTCTTAGTACCCTGGATGCCTATTAATACCTTGTATTGATCCGGATGCGCTGTTGATAGCAAGCCTCTCAGTAAAGACCATACTGATAGAGTGAAACCTCCTCTTTACAGGACTGGTATTAATCACCCACTACCTAACACTCACCACGCTCAAAAACTTCAGTCAACTCATAGTAACAACCTTTTTACTATTAAATACTCAGGTTAGTTACCCAGAGGCTGACAGTCCTACAGGAATCTGCAAGGCCATCGGCCAAGGTTTGAACCTTGGCCGATGGCCGTCAGGGTTCAAACCTTGAACCCCTGTCGGTTCAAGGTTTGAACCGGCCGGACAGTCTCTCCATAGGACCCATCCCTGGGTCCTATGGTATATGCCTCAACCTAAACCCATATGAATATGGGTTTAGGTCTGGCTGGCTGCATGCCTGCCTGCAAGCAAGGCGACCTCGCTTAACGGTTGGCGTGCAGCGTCGCACGCCAACCTGCTGGGGTAATGCCCGCGCAGGGGGCTGGCGTGCGGACCCGCACGCCAATTTTGATTGGCGTGCGGTCCCACACTCCCTTCTCTGAAGGGAGTGTTGGAGTGTGTGCGCAAAGGGGGGTGGAGTGTGATTATCACTCCCCGTTATGAAAACCCTTTTGCTGAATGGAGAAGGGTATGTTGGAGTTGCAAGCTCTGCCCTTCTATACTATCAGAATAACAAGACCACCAAGCTTAGCTTGGCAATTTTATATATAGTGATAGGGATAAGTTCAAGATGAAGCTGCCAATTGATATGTGTGAGGGTATAAAGTTGTTGTTGACTGTTGGTTATATTGATGAAGTTGTTGTTGATGGATATGGTTCAGGGCACTTTTTGGTTTATGATGATGATGAAAGTGTTAAATCTGTATTTCAATGTATATAATTCTGAAATTGTAATATGGCTATGACTTGTAGTTCTGAAATAATATATAAGGTGTATTTATTTATAAGGGTGGTTGAGATGATCTGGTCCACTGGTGGGATGATGGAGGGAACAACTGGCAGGCAGAGGCCTCCTTATATAGACAAATGTGAGGGATTTTGGCCCCAGGGTACAGGCTGAAAGATACTACTACAAAGGGATGCATATAAATGAACAAAGGGACGCATATGTATGATCAAAGGGATGCATACATGCAATATCACTAATACAAAGGGATTCAAAATAACGTAAAGGTATTCAATTTACTACAAAGGTATTCAGTATGCAATATGCATCCTGTATTCATAATGACTATGGCTAGAGTAAAGAATCCAAGAAATATCCCGTGACAGGTTGAAATCTGTGTAACTTCTAAACTATAAGAGATAAGGGTATGGTTGTAGTGGGTGACTAGGGGTTATTTTACCTGAGGATTCCATTTTTGATGTTATTTTTACCCTATCTTGAATGAATAAAGAGATAATGAGAAATTTTTATATTTTCTGCGTAGAAACACAGTATTATTTACCACACCGACGGTTTTTGGGAGTGGATACTCTAAAAACCCCATGGGCAGTTGTAAGTTGGCAGCAAAAAAAATAAAATAAAACCTACCAAAGGCCGGGATGATTCCTCTTTGCTGTCAAGAGTATACCCTCTTGGCGGCCAGGAGGATTCCTCTTGGCTGTGGAGAGGGTACACTCTCAACAACCAAGAGGGCTTCTCTCAGCCACCAAGAGTGTACCCTCTCAACGGCCGAGTGTATACTATCCAGAGGCCAAGAGGAACATACACTCTCAGCAACCAAGAGGGCCCTCTTGACTTCTGAGAGCTGCACACTCTTTGAGGCCAAGAGGAATCCCTCTCGGCCTGCTGAGAGCTGTATACTCTCAGCAGCCAGTAGAGATTCCTCCTGGCGGCTTAGAGTGTACAGATCTCAGTGGGCCAAGAATCCCTCTTCTTGAGGTTCAAACAACTACCAAACATCCTCTGCCCCGTCAAGGCGCTGTCCAGGCACGTTGATAGCTGCGGTTTGACAGACGCACACCTATTCAGCTTCACGGCAAACGACAAACCCGTCCCACTAACCAAATACAGGGTTAATAAACGAATATTTGAAGTTTGGGAAGCAAACGGCTATCTCGGCCTATCAGGAAATTCTTTCCGGGTGGGTGACACATCTTTTCTGAACGCCCTTGGTATTCCCATAGCCCAAATCTGTGATTGGCAGGTGGAGCTTGTCCTGCTACAAATTATATTTGCAGACATACTCATCAGAAGATCTAGATAGCTCCCTAAAGCTCTTAAGGAAGCTAGACCTGCAATGGAGTTTGATGCATGTTTAGTTGATCATTAATCGTGTAATAGAAACCACACACCTGTTATTGAGGAGTCAACAGACAGAACACAGTGCGGAAGTTTGGGGGTTTGCGCAAGGCTCAGGCTTTCACCCTGATTTCAAGGGTTCAGCGCGATTCCCCTCTCTTTTCCTCTCTGTTTCAGGAAGAGAGCTTCCTTCTACCACAAAGCCGGCCGAGGGCCCTTTGCTGGCGGGCTAAAATAAGCCCAGGAGGAAGCCCTCTCCCAAGACCCTCACGCGCCCCTCTTGAAAACCCTTGGTAACAAGGGGACCAAGGAGGGCTACAGGTGTCAAGCGGGAACCCCCACAGACCCCTGAAAACCGTGCAGAGATGAATGAAGAGTAGATGGATTGGATTGGTGGTGTCAGCAGCGCACTAGCGGATGTTGCCAAAGTCCAAGAACACAAGCGCTTGGGACTCCTAGCCAAGCTGAGTGGTTGGGCCTGAGTTCCGCCCTGCTCTACTCTAGATCACGAGCCAAGTGCTGCTTGAGGAAGTCGGTATATAGTGACCACCTTTGTGCCCCACCAATCTACCTCAGGCTTTCTCCTATCTCTGAACGCGCTGGGACCGGTTTTTTAGCTCCACCCTCCTACCCGGGGGTTCAGCGCAATCCCCCTCTCTTTTCCTCTCTGTTTCAAGAAGAGAGCTTCCTTCTACCACAAAGCCGGCCAAGGGCCCTTTGCTGGTGGGCTAAAATAAGCCCAGGAAGAAGCCCTCTCCCAAGACCCTCTTGAGACCATCTCCACCGCGGTCTGTATTTTTGGGTCCCTATTGATCAAAAATATGGACTCGGAAACATGTGTAGGGACTTGGAACCCTGTTCTGCCACACCGGGTAGTCCTTAAATCACCGGTATTGGTGTAGTGTTGACAAGCTGTCACACTAGTTTGAAGTGCAATGTTGTGTGACATTCACATTGAAGTGTACAATCCTTGGTCCCTATCCAATAGAGGGACCAAGGGTGAAGTCTGTAAAATACAGACAATGATGGGGACCGTGGTGGGAGGCGTTTTTTGGGCTTTGGTCCCTAAATGGATGACTTCCTGTCGCGGTTTACAACCCTCCCAGAATTTGATTTACACCCCCAAGATCTTAATTTTTGATATAAATAAATATTTTTTCATAAGCCTTGGGAAGATGGCTCTCACGTGAGCTGGTTGGAATTATGATTGAGGTGTAAATTCAGGACTGGGGAGTGCTTAAAAAGCACTCTAAATGGCGACGGGAAGTCCTGATGTGGGATAGGGACCCAATTTAGGGACCGGTGTAGATGGTCTGAAAACCCTTGGTAACAAGGGGACCAAGGAGGGCTACAGGTGTCAAGCAGGAACCCCCACAGACACCTAGAAACCGTGCAGAGATGAAAGAAGAGGAGATGGATTGGATGGCCTAGACTTCCTTGGCTATCAGTCTATCCACTGGCCATTTGGTACACATCATTGATTCTCAGACCAGAAATTCAATTTATTATAACATGCTATTCAGTTTTCTGATATTTTGCTGATGACTGGCTACCTGTAAAATGGGCAAGTAGCTGGATCAACAATAAGGATAGATAGATACAAGCTTTGCTGCATACATAGTTTTGATAATCTAATGGTTTTTCAGTACCATGGCATTGTTTCCTACCAGGGGGGAATACCTCCAAAATCACTTAATTTTTTAGGATTTTTGGCACCTTTTCCACTAGAAGGTTCTGGAGCTCTATTGTGCGCGTGATTATCGAATCCGTTTATAATCAAGTAGCAGATATACATCACTGAGACAACAATTAAAACTGTTGATATGGTCATATCGATCTTATCTGTCTCCTTCAACGCGTTCCACAGAATACTGATTGTCCGATTTCCAGTTTCGAGACTGCTACTGGTAATTGCTATGTTGCCGGTTCTCCTCAGCCGATTGCGGGAAAGTACGCTCATGTCTGATTCAGAGCCGTCGGACTGAAACCACAGGACAAGGATTCGGCATCAATACAAAGGACTGCAACTCGAATTAGGATTTCAATTGGTCAACGCAGCTCACTCGATGACTATGCTCCCGAGACAGGTCGACGGTCGGTCTGTACGCCTCGCGCACGAGGCTGTCTATTATTCTTGTGCCGGGCCGAACCGCGACATCATGTTGACTTTGCTGTTGTAACTCGTAAACGGAGTAGGTAAGATTCTTGAGACAATAGCACGAATTAAATTTCTAATCCGCAAGTAAACTCACTTGGGGATCATCATAAGGATCCAAGTCTAATCCAGGCAATCTCATGCTTGAGTGCGCCGAGTCCACGGAAGATTCTGGGACAAGTTCTATCTCGCTTGTGCTGTGGGCAGCTAAATTTGTCCGATGATGAAGTTGGTATCCACGGGGCGAGGAAGCTTCAGGCGGAAAGCGATGCGCAGCTGAAGGCGCATTCCTCATTGCAATGCAATTACCAATAAGCTATTCAAGGCCATGTTGTTAGTTCAGAGCCAGCTCCGTCAAGCACCAAGCGGAGGTGGCCGTGGAGCAAAGAATTCATCAACTCACCAGACCAAGGAGCATAATGGACTTCATGATTATTTCTTAAGTCAAGTCAGTCAATAAAACAAGAGGATTGCTTCCGGGCAGATTTGAAGCGGCTCAACCTTGGGATCGCAAAATCATTGAGTGTACTCTTATAACCTCGAAGTTGTATCAAATCTCTCAAACCTGGGGGGGGGCTAGCAATGACAGCACAGGTTTCTGCGGCTTGCTGATATGAACAGTAGCTGACCAATTCGCGCCAGACTGTATGACATTATCATTCACATCAAGGCTGTTTCTACGAGCTTGAAACTTTGCCTGCAGTCAAGTAACAAACAGCTTCGGAAGGACGTGAGGTCGACTGCAACTCAAGCACAAAATAGGCCCTCCACTTATTCAGCCTTCTCGGCTCGTGCGGGACAAGTGAACTTGGGGGCAGTTTCGGTATGTGACTTTTTCCTTGGAAGTGGAGTTACAAGATCCGGCCAGGCCAACAGTTTCATTGAGGGTGATTACTGCGACTTGATAACGAAGACCGATACTCAGAAGATGAGGAAATATTCATTTTCGGCATCTATGGGCACCGAAGCTCTGCCCTAATCACTACACCAGCCTAGGTACTCTTCCCACGAACTTTAACACTTGGGCTCTTCAGTGAATGACAACGGTCCTTGAGCAATCCACTGGTATGCTCAATTATTAATCTATGGTTCATGAGCTTACAATAGCTCACAATTAAACAGTTGCTTATCACGTGGGACTTGAGCACTTGGAAGCTGGAATAATGATGTGTAAAGCTGTGTAGGTCGAGTCTGTCAAGGAACATTCACCCGGAGAGAAGACAAAAATTAAATTTTTCTACAACTGAAGATATCAATAGATTATCAGTTAACCGGGAGTCTGACAGAGACAGTTGAAATTCAACACTTACTCTTGTGGTCTTAAATACTGGTTAATTGCGGGCACTAGTCGTAGTACCACAAAGCCATTAACCTGATAGACAGCCCTCTGCTGCCAATTACAAACAATCAAGGTAGATTAAGGTCCCTCTGAATACCAATTTCCTATTCCAGTACAGAGCTTCATCAAAATAGAGAAGGAAAACTTAGGGCCAGTACCGTGAGATTCAGTTTTGAAAAATTGGCATTTTTTCTGCCTTTTGCACAACATTTGATAAAAAGTGAAGAGATCAAAAAGTTCATTTCTTCACTGTTATGCTAACAATTGGCTTCTGGTGATGGTCAATTTTGATCAGATATTTGAGTAAGATTGATTCTGAAAAATTGAGATTTTGTTCCCAATGGTACTGGCCCTTATTTGAAAGCTGATCGGCAAGAATGTGTAGAGAGCCCCCATTTCTGTACACACCAAAATGAGCTAGAGCAACCAAGAGTTGCTTTTTTCACAGGCACTTGAGGAATTATAATCAGATTTGTTGAAAAATGTTCTGTACTGACCCTTGTTACTTTAGCATTGAACAGGGAAAAGAAACTGCTTTTTGGCATTTTTCCTCAAGTGCCAGTGTCAACCAATTAGCTTTGGCACTGGCCAAACATTTCATGGAAAAAGCACTTGTCCATCTCATGAAAATAGCATCCCTGATTTCTGTGTGGACTTGAGGAAATCTTTGAAAGAGTGGCAATCCCTGGTCAAGGCATCCTGGGTACCATGTATTTGTCCAATGGTGTTGGAATTTAGCCGTCATCATCCATCCTCTTTTTTTCTCTCTCCCCCATGTCACTCATTTCTGCCTATCACTCATTTCTTTCTCTCCAGTTGAATATGCATTTCACCTTCTGTCCCACAATCTGGCCCCAACAGTTGTAATAGCTTAAGTATACAAGGCTCTTTACCTCCTTAGAAAGAAATGGATTATCTGATTTCTGTGCACATTTCCCTGCGTTCTCCAAGATATAAAACCACTTATAGCACGAGTGCTTTTCCGCCATGCAACCTAGCAGCTTAAGCCTCTTTTGAGGTCCTTCAACCTTGTTTTTCCTCCTCAAGACTCAAGTCTTGAGCTTGTTTGTCCAGTTGCTCTTCTCCCCATTCTCCTGGCCCCAGCCCAGAATTTCATCAAATGGTACCTTTTAAATCAATGTGAAAAGTAACAACAAAGGGGTTCTAATTGATGCATTCTACTTTTTCCAAGTGATCCCTCTGATCTAAGAGTCTCTTTCAATACAAACTTAATAAGTTCCCCTAGCTTAGCTCTGCTGGAGGGACTTGTGACTTATCAGGATTCTCAACAACAGATTTCAGTTTGTGTGTTCACTTTGAACCTCCCACACAAACTGTAGAATGCCTGCCCTTCTAAGTTTTCATTATATTATTGGCCTCCTTGTTTGCTTTCTTCTGATAGCATTTGAAGCCACATCCCCCATGTTTTGATCATGTCCTTTTCATTTTTCTAAATGTTTGATTTTCTCAAATTTCTTGACAATGCAACTGGACAACAAGATAATTGTCTGTGCGCACTCACCAAAGTAATTGGAATTAAATTATCCTTTCTTTTGTATGTATTTTTTTTTTTTCCAAAACATGTACATACAGTGGAGTTACAACATGTTGAGAAATGTGTAAAATGGTGAGTAACAACGTCAATTGTAACAAAAAGAGGGCACATAAATCCGGAGGTCTTATGCGAGAATTCCTGATAAGTCATAAGTCCCTCCGGCAGAAGCCTCTTACAAGGCGGGACTCAGTTAAGTTCGCTTCCAATATGACTTGCAAGGTATGATTGTGGGTGATAAAGGAATGGTGCAGGTGTTTGGGAGGGTGGGGGTGCTGAAGCCTCATAGTCAACTCTGCTTTCATAGATGCATGAGTTGGCAAATGCCTGCAAGAGAAAATTGTCATAAGAGCATCCGCATCAGTCGTTAACTTAGCGCGGATTAAGGCACTTAGTCCAGCCTTGCAACCGCACCGGTCCAGATTACGACAGGATCAACTTGACTCAGCTCTCCATTTGGAGCTAGTGGGGTCTAAATCTAGACCTCACTAATCCTGGGAATAAGTCCTGCATGCATATTCAAAAGGCATGAACACATACAAACTAGCTCCGATCAAGTCGGATCAACTGACCTCAAATACATACATAACACATAGATTTAAACCACCTCAGCCACCACCGATGTGGCTGGAGGCCGAGATCACCTTAATCTTGTCCTAATCCAAGCTCGCTAATCCAGTGTAACTTGACCATGTTATGCTATGAATCCTAACATTCGAGTAGATGATGGAAAACTCCCCCAAGGGGATATAAATTTCTTAAGAGCCCAGTATTTATAGAAAAAACCTATGTACATACTTGGGTTGGTGAGAAACCAAAACCCATAAATCCATAGACTATGCATATAAATAGGGTGAGAAATCTAACAAAATGTGACATGGGAATTCATGTCATAACACTCCCCCCCTCACCAACCCCTCTAAAGAGAAACAGAAGGAACGAAGTGCAAGAGGGGAAAGAAAATGAAAATAAAGTGTAAAAAATAAGAAAAAAAATCAAGTTTTGTGTTAGGAAAAGGTAAACCACAGAAGGATGGTTGATAGCGTTGTATGAGGACTGGGATTGTTGCAAAACACCGAGTTATACCGCAGAAGGGCGGTCAAGAAGCAAATAGTGTTGTGTGAGGACATTTCCAATGTATGCCGCAGAAAGACAGTCGAGCAAAGGATCGATAGTGTCGTATGAGGACTGAGCCCGTTGACCGAAAGGCGGTTGAGGAGGGAATCGTGTTGAATGAGGATAACGTTGGCGTATACCGCAGAAGGGCGGTCGATTTATACCGCAGAAGGGCGGTCAATTTATACGGAAGAAGGGTGGTCGATTTGTTGGGAGGCCAGCTTACTGCCAGATGGAGACATGGCTGATCGAATAGTGTTAAATCGTACCAAAGAAGCGCGGCTGAGAAACCAATTTTGCGTCGGATGAAGACATGGCTACAGCCTCGCTAGGACCGTTGATAGCCTTGCTAGGGCCGATGATAGCAAAAATATTATTGATTGAACCGCCAGAATAATGTCAAGGGAAACCGAGGTTGAGTCGAGATTCCAAGAAGAAGTCGGATGAGGACCATGATTTGGCGGGGTTGATGATAAAACCAGAAAAGAGTTCAACACCGCAACCTTGAAGCAGGAAGGTGTGACTAGAGGAAATTAAATGGTTCAAATCCACTGGGAGCTTGTGGATGGGGAGAGTCAAGTAACAAGCGAGAATAGGAGCTACCGCTGTTAACAGTGCGGGCTCATAACCTGTTATGCTATGAATCCTAACATTCGAGTAGATGATGGAAAACTCCCCCAAGGGGATATAAATTTCTTAAGAGCCCAGTATTTATAGAAAAAACCTATGTACATACTTGGGTTGGTGAGAAACCAAAACCCATAAATCCATAGACTATGCATATAAATAGGGTGAGAAATCTAACAAAATGTGACATGGGAATTCATGTCATAACAGACCACTGATGCGGATGCTCTAAAAGCAAGATTACAACATCTGAGTATAAATTTGTTGTTGGTCCAAAGAGGTTTGTTTACATCCCCATGCGGCTACACAGTGGGGACTGGCGAGGGCTTTTTTGAATTGTGATGGCGATCTACATATCTTTTGATCTGTTGGTATGGGTCAGGGTGGGTGGGCTGCCATCGGATTAAATTCTGGAGATGTGGTCAAGCCAATTGCTGTGGTGGGTCGAGGGTTGCAGCAAGTTTGGCCGAAGCGTTGGGGGGCAGTCAACGGCGATTTCGGCCATCTTCGACCACTGAAGCAGTCCCAGATGGTTCCCCCTTTCAACCACCATCTTGACTTATCCTCTGCCTTCCGTTCATACCCTGATCGGTGATGGATACGAAGAACCCTGGCCCGACTGGTGGCCTTCATCGTCCCGACTTGATCAAGATACCGCGACTCTACCAAACCGAGCTGCTGGAGGAAGCCAAGAAGCGGAACATCATCATCCGCGCCGACACCGGTACCGGGAAGACTATCGTGGCAGTCAACTTGATCGCATGGACTGCCGTCAAGACCAAGGCAAACAACAAAAACCATCAGATCCAGGCCTTCCTTGTCCCGACCCGTCCGCTGGCCCACCAACAGGCCGAATACATCCAGAAGCACTGTACTCTTCGCATCAAAGCCTACACCGGCGACCTGCAGCCAGAGCTGTGGAATATCAGGAAATGGCATTCAGAACTGAACGAAGTCGATGTCCTAGTCTCTACTGCCCAGGTAAATGTGGACCAAAGCCGACTTTAACACAGTCTATTCTCCGCCCATTGACTTGTCGCCTGCCTGCTTATTCTGATCATCGTGCCTGGTTTTTTTTTTTGTCTCGTCGCAGATATTTTATGATTTGATCTCGAAAGGATACTGGAAATTAGAAGACGTAAGGACCCTATCACTTGCTTCATATACATTTCTAGATCCATTAGCTCAGGCGTCGCAATTGATGTCCAAACAAACACTTTTGTAGGTATCCTTGTTAATTTTTGATGAAGCACACCATTGTCGTAAAAATCATGTCTACAATCAAATCATGTGAGTTTTTTTTCCTTTCATAAGCCCAATTTAATTTACAATGAACATTGGTATTTACCCTAGTGTTTCGCTCATATTTATCAGGCGAAGTCATTATCATCGTTTGGCCAAAGATTCCACGGTGCGTCTACCGAAGATTCTAGGACTGACAGCATCGCCCATCTGGAATTTCAAGGACTTGGAAAAAGCAGAAAGCGATATCAAGTTCGGTCTCCCATGTGCTTCTGATCATCGTTGGTGTAACTCATATTGGAACGCATTCTCTTTCGAGTGAACAGGAATCTCCAGTCCGCCCTTGCCGCTCAAATATACGAAGTCAAGAAGCACACCGAAGATGTTTGTCGGCATAACTTCAAACCAAACGAACAGGTCGTATACTTCGAACCTGCCCCAGATTTCCAACAACTTTCTCATCCTCCATGGGACCAGATTAACAAGCTCCTCAGCCTACATGCCAGTCCTAAAATGATTGCCGCCATCCAATCAGTTTCTCTGGTACTGTCTTGTCTCTTGCATATCTAGATCTCCCAGTAACTTCAACCGCATCAACTCATCGGAAGTTGGTCCCATTTCGACTAGGACTTAGGAACGTATGCGTACTCGTTGGCTGTCCTTGACTGGCTGAAATCCCTGTTGACTATCGGTGGCTCCAATCAATTGATGTCCGGACGGCTAGTGGATCCCAATTACCAAGAACGAATCCAAAGTTTGATTAAGGAAGTCGAGAAGCTTGTGGACATTGACGATATACCCGAAAACCAACTTTCCTCCAAGGTTATTGCATTGTACAAGATTCTAGTCAATTACAAAGAGAAAGACGACCACAACAACTTTCTCTGCATCGTGTTTGTCGAACGCAGGCAACATGCACAACTTTTACCCATTCTGTTAGAGCGCAACGTCCAGCTGAAAGACTTTCTTCGTCCCGCAGCCCTGACTGGCCATGGTTCAGGCAATGAGAACGACTTGATTGGGATCAAGATGGACTCGAAAACAGTAGGCACTTGATCCATCTACCCTTCATGTTGCCCTCAAAATCACTCATTTCCGTCATCCACCACAGCAAAACAGGACTGTTGCAAAGTTCAGGACAGGCGAACACAATTTGACAATCGCAACTAGTGTGGCTGAGTAAGCATTTTCCCTAATCAATGTCGATCATGATTGCTCTGGGTCTGATGCGCTGCTGATCCTCTTCTGCAGGGAGGGACTGGATTTTCGCTCATGCAGGGTCGTTATTCGATTTGATCTGATAACCACTTGGAAAGGGTGCGTAACTATAGCATCTTGCTGCAGGCACTGCAATTGGATATGATCACGCGAGGCTCATTTGATGTCATCCGTGTTTTTACATCTTTGTTCGTAGCTACATTCAATCCCGTGGACGGGCCCGAGCGCGCGAATCTGACTACATCGTCATGCTTCCTACTGGTACAGCGAACAAATATTTAGCATTCAGTGGGAAAGAGTAAATGTCTTGGAGAATCTATCATATCTTGGAAGCTCAACAAAGTCGACTGTATCATTAAACGCATGTTTCCATCTACCATTTGTCGTTCCAGAGAGCAGCTCAAAGCCGCGCTCTACGATCGTCCGCAGGATGAGCTCATCGAAGATGGTGAAGAAGAATCGACTCCTCAACTGATTTGCCAACTTGCCGATGGGAAGGAATCGATCTTGACATACAGTGCGGCTACTAGCCTTTTGAATGACGTCTGCCAGCTGATTCCACCCGATGAATTCCTTCCAGTCGTTGCGCCGGAATATGAGATGATGGAATTAGGAGAACGGTTCAAATGTCGAGTGACGTTGCCCCCGATGGCTGCTCTCCCGCCTTCTCGGCGTACGTTCACTGGTCTCGAAATGGGGACCAAGAACGGCGCCAAACGCTCGGCCGCCTTTGAAGCCTGCAAAGTCTTGCGAGAGCTTGGCGTCCTAAATGAACATTTCCTTCCTCAGCGAGAAGATAAGGTTGCTCAGGTCCGTGATGCGGATGGTAGAGAAATTGAAACCACCCAACTCGCAGATAAGGTCGAAGCGATTATCTCTAACGTCTACGGCGATTTCCGGACCTCCTCCGAAGTCTGGCTCCACAAACTCTCTTTCCCGGATGATACTCCAGCCGGATTCTCAACGATGGGACTTCTATGTGCTCGTCACCTCACTATTCCAGATGACTTGCAGCTATTCGATCACGACCCAGTCAGCAGACCACTATCCGTCAAAATTAAACACAGCAAAAAAGTTGAATGGGAGAAGGATGCTGCGCCCTTCAATTTGCAGAGGTTAGAGAGATTTACTCTACTGGTGATGCAAGTTGCCGTCAATCGAAAGCCCTACGAAGGAAAGCTGTATTTCCTTGTCGCTCCTCTCCTCAATGATGCCATTGAAATCGACTGGAATCTTGTGGACACTCCGATGATCCCGCTTTCAGAAGCTGCCGACAGTTCACGTTACCAATGTACAATCGTGCCGTCCCGACGCCCCCGTTTCAGAATATTCGATACATGTGAATCGGCTGGTGATCTATGTGCCGCCTCACCGCCTTCGCGTGTACCTGCTTGTCCGAGCATGCAGCACTTTTGTAAGAAGATCGCGAAATTCCACAATCTGGGTCACTTTTATAAGACTTGTTACGACTTGGAAGACGAGCATTTGAAGGGAGGCTTTGTCTATCTTCAAACTACCTTTCAGGTCTATAATAATCTTTTGCAGTCCGAATCAACTCTGGCCCATCCTTATCGAACCCTATTACCGTTGAAGCTCTGTCAAGGAACACACATCCCACGAACGATTTGGAAAGTATTCAGTTACTTACCATCGCTGACTCGTCTTTTGCACGATTCGATCCAGGCGACTGCTCTCTTCATGCGATTGGATTTTCCAATGACTTTGCTACCACGTGGAATCCAAGCACTCACTCCACCTGGTGTTGGTGTTCCTTGGGACTACCAAACCCTTGAGACCGTGGGTGATGCGTTCCTCAAGCTAGCCACCTCGGTCCACGTCTATCTGAGTCACCTTCGAAAGGGCGAAGGCGATATGAGTCACGTGCGATCCAAATCGGTTGATAACGACTACCTCCGGCGGAAAGCGATCCAGGCGAATCTACCCAGCTCAATCCTCGGCCAACGCTTTCGCACAGACAGATTCAGAGACGCCCAAACAGAAGACGGCAAAGAGCTCCCCAACGGGAATTTCTCGAGAAATGTGCCGAGGCGGGTTTTGTCCGACGTTGTTGAGGCCCTGTTGGGCGCTGGTTTTCTCACTGGCGGTATCGAACTCGGCTTGAAAATCGGAACGGCCCTGGATCTTTGCTTTGGAGGTACCACACCCTGGAACGAAAGAACGTTAAATATCGCTTTTGAGGGCACCGCTCATGACAAACTCGCATCACCAATCCTCCTTAAATGCCAAGCGCTCGAAGAGAAGATTGGCTACGTTTTCAAAGAGAAATTATTGTTAGTTCAAGCTCTAACTCACCGTAGCGCCAACTCATTCATGACGAACTGTTACGAGAGGGAGGAGTGGCTGGGAGATGCGGTGGTCGACATGTGGATCGTCCAGCATGCCTACAAACGCTTCGACAATGCGACTGCGGAAGAACTGACTCTTGCGCGAGCCAAGTTGGTTTCTAATGGTAGTCTGGGCTTCTTGGCAATCAAAAAACTAGGTCTGCATAAAATGATCATGCACAAATCTGAGAGCTTCGAACAAGCCTGTGTGGAGGCCATCAAAGCCATCGAACCTTTTACCTCGATCGAGGAATTCTTTTCAAACCTAGAGAATCTCTTCGTGGTCTTTGATCCGCCGAAGATATTAAACGACGTCTTGGAAGCCATCGTCGGTGCGGTGTTCATTGATAGCCGCTTCGACCTTCCGACTGTCTATCGAACCATCGACAAAATCTTCGAGGATGTCACCCCAGGCTTGTCGCGGATCGTTGCTCGCGACCCCTTGTCCACAATGTTGAGACTCCGTGACCAATACCAATGCGCAGAGTTGCGTCGAGTATCGTAAGGCCCTTTTCTCTCATCAATCTCATTGGCAAACACACGCCAAGTTCGGCAGGAAAAAACCAAGCGCTAATGTTTTCCTCTGTTCTTACTTGGTTTCTGTTTTCTCACCGAAAGAACGACAATCAAGGAGCCCAATCCAGAAGGAGAGGACAAGGACCCAATCTCGGTGAAGGTCTGTCGGATCGAGCTACACGGCCAAGAGATTGCGAGTGGCCGACATGCGAGTTCCGCAAGTGTGGCCGAACAGAGGGCCTCACTTGCAGCCCTGAAAGTTCTTCAGGACCCATCTGGCGACAGTCGCGCACCAAAATCTGCGTGGTCGAGATGTCAATGCAAGGCGCGGGCCGTGTCCACAACAGCGGTGGCCTCCTCAACCCCAGCTGCTGAAAGCAAGGTAAAAGGGTCTCTCTCACTCACTGTGCAAACTAGAAAAAATTGTTAAGGTCTATGACGTCGATGGGATTACTGAGAATCTTGGTGACGTTCATTTCCCTGCTCAGGAGGAAATCCAGAAAGAGGAAGGCCGCCATGCTTCTCAGGATCTCCCCAGACAAATGAGCCACCTCCATATGTGAAACTAAAACAACTGTTGGATGGCCCAGAGCCGATGCAGAATAGCATGGACATGTTGAAACCCCTTCTTGGTTATTTATTCTCATTTGTTAATCTCCTTGGAAACAGGCAACATCAACTAGACTGATGACGAGAGTTTTTTTCCCTGTGAAAAGTGTTACTGATATCTGTAACATTTAACAGGCTACTGATAGTTTTTTAAAATACAATTTTCATCAAAATAATTCCACCAGAAAGGTTCTTGTGCACCCACCAGAAGAGTTGCAAATCAATCAAGCAAATTATAAGCATGTCCAGCACGGTGGTATAGCTAGAAGAAAAGAGAATTTGCGTTGACATTTCTACCAGTGCCCAAAAGAGGGCCCTTTCATTCATTTTTCCTTCACATCCCAATTTAATGTTGCTGTGAGCTGTTAGGCCCTTGAATGAGCCCCCCTTTTTCACAGTTGTATTACTTCTGTCACCATCTGAAATGCAAGCCCATAGTGGTGAGATCTGCTTCACAGGAGAGGTCTTTTCTTCTGTCCTCCTCACCCATACAGCCCTCGTAGCTTAAGAGAACCTCTCCCCCTTAGTGCTGTTTGTGTCACCCTTACTAACCTGGACAAGGTACCAAGGTACACCTGTCCAGCACCTTGGTACACATTTTTTTGTGTCATCAAAATGGGGATCAGCATTCAGGAGCCTTGCCCTGGAACACTGCAACCATCCCAGCCAAAAGGCTCACATTCTTGCAGGTGGTTTTGCTTGGTGTGCACCTGTTTGTTGGATTTTTAAGACTTGTACATAAATGGCTCAAAGACATTGTGATATTAAAACCCCCTTGATTCAGGAGGGTATGACAAATGAAGTATCTACATCCAATAAGATAAGTATGCTTACATGGCGCAACCAGAGGCCCTGCTCAGATTGGGTTCAAAGTGTTGAATTTTGTTGAAATCTGAGCACCATGTGCTCAATCTTGTTTCCTGTTGTAGTGAATTACATAATATTAGATAAAGCATTATGTATCACTACATCAACATCATGAATCCTACTCACAACTGTCTTGACAAATAATCCTGATGTCACTTTGTTTTCTCACCATTAGCATTTTCTCACATTGTCTCTTTACACAATCATGTAGTATAAATAAGCATGTATTTCTCTACAAGATTATGTCTCTTTCCTCTATGCAATCTACTTCTTAGCTTTCTTTACTCGTACTTACATACTCGTGCCTCTTTATTTCCCTCCAGACTGGATCAAAGCAAGACAAATGACATCATCATGCATCTCTCACCAACCAAGAATTCATGTTACCAATGCGGACATCCTGCATTGGCTGCTTCAACCTTAGTACTTAAAACTTTCTCTCTTGCTCAAATCATTCCTTTTTCTTTTCCCTTGTGGAACCTCAAGGTCATTTATCTAGACCTTATGTCTTATTTGTCACATTGTGTTATCTCTTATACTATTATATGCAAACACTTTGGTTCCTCCGCTTGACAAAGCTTAAAAGTCAAAGTTTCCTGACTCATATTATCTTCCTCAGTACCAACGGTGCAACAGATACGAGACATGTATTTGTATTGGATTGTATTGTCTTTATTTTGAGCCGGATACAGGTATCAGTATTTTTTTTAGTTGGTGAAAAAATCCATTGTCTCAGATTTGGATTTACAAATGAAAAAAATTGTCTTTGTTTTTTTTTTCTTCAATACGGCCAAATATCTTGTGTATCAAATACGTTTTTGGTGGGATCAGTCATCATAGGCAACACTGGGTCTCTACGCTATTCGTAACAGAAGCGTAATGTAAAGTAGCGGAATTTTTGTAGTTATCATTACCGCTATCAGTAACTGTTTGCACACCACACTACCCTTATTGTAATTGAGTTGAGAATTGTTGCACACTACGCTAACAGGATCTCAGGTCACGTTTTTTTGCTATCATTACGCTAATGAGGATAAGGGAAATTTTTGCTACAAATAGATTGAGTGAAAGTAGCGTAGCGGTGTGAAATTTCTGAGCAGTGAATCAGGCTGAAATTAACATGATCAGTTTGATTTGGATCGGGGAATCAATCCCTTCAGAGCCTTTACAGCCTCCTCAAAATCCCCTGATACTTTGACACCCTCCCAAAGCCACATCAGGCTACTCACAGAGTGCGACATAGTAGAGGGTAGGAGGCTACCACGCCTACTGCTACAGACATCTGATGCTGCTGAGAATAACCTCTCAACAGCACAGGAGCTCCCCGATGCACCAAGGTATGCGCGAGCCATGACTGCCAGTGTTGGATAAGTCGATTGGTGCCTCTGATGATTTTCAGAAGAACAAACAATCAGTTTTTTGAATGCCAAGGTAAAAGAGACATATGAAAAAACTCTTTACCTTTCCACCACCTCAAGGGTGTTGATTTGTGATCTAGAGCGCCTTTCTCAAATGTGATGTTGGCATTCAAGTAAGCATCAATTTTGTTTTCTTGAGGATGTCGCTTATAGTATTGTACGCGAGGCTAGCGTCCATGAGTGCAAGGTTGGGTGGTTTGTCTATGACAGCGATATTGGCATCGTTTGACTTCTCCGACGTCACTTTCTGATTGTCCTTGACCAGTTGGAATTCACGGTTGAGCAAGCTCAGGCATTGAGTTACCTCATTGCTATCGGGTCCAAATGCTAGTTCAAACAGGTGCATCCGGTAGCAGGGATGCATGATTGTAGCAATGACCAATGTGCTGCATTTCATCGCCTCATCAAGATATTTATCCACTCGTTTCAGCATCACATTGTGCATTGGGTACAACGCATCCTTTTCATGAGCTTGCGACACCTTTTGTGAAAGGGTCTCCTTGAGCTCAAGGTATTTTGGGATCACATGCGTTCCAGTTGCCGAATTTCCTTCCATTTGGGAAGTGAGTTCTACAAATACCTGAGAAGAAGGAACAGGATCAGCAAGATTGATACAGAAATCAGCTGAACAATTTGCTTACCTCTAGCTCTCGTGTGAGATTGTCAAGTTCTTTCCAGTCCCATGGTGAAAAAAGGACATCACCAAAGTCTCCGGGTCCATGTTCTTCTTGATCCTCCTTCAGGACTTGATCGATGACATCTCGGGCATCAACAGCTTTCTTGTAGGACTGGAACTTGATATTCCACCGGATACCATATCCAGCAATCAACGGGGCAACCTTTATTCCAAGTTGATGAGCTATGCGGTCAAAGTTTGACCTCTGAGCTGCTGAACGTGTAATTTGTTTGATAACAACTTCCAGCTAACCCAAAGAGTAGTCAGCATCAAATGTCACATGTTATCATGAAGACGGTAACATATCAACTGACTTTTGTAGTGAGGTCAAGAAGTCTGGTGGTCTTATTATTTTTAATCTGTTCAGCTACATCCTTGTCGTTGGGATCATCGTCATCACTGGCCTCCTCATCATTGACCTCATTGTCGGCATTTCCGTAGTCGCTTTCAGAGCCCCCAAAATTCACATCAACATCGGCATTGCTAACATCTTTCATCCCGCTTCCTTCAGGTGGCTGAGAGGTTGGTTTGTCATCCTTGTCTAGTCGACCAAGCACCGGGAAGCAGCCCAAAACTGACCGCTTTGTCTTTCTAGGGGGCAATGTCTTGAGCAATAAGGCAGCCAGACCGACATTAACAATAAGCGCGAACTTGTGGCAGATGCACCGGATGTGCATTTTGGTCGGATCACAAGGAGAAGTGTTGTTGGCATTACTGTCTCCAGCATTGTTGAGCAATGAATACATGGCACTCGCCATCGTATTGTTGTTTGACCCTGAGTCGTTTGTCTGGGCCAACATGTAAAAAATCAAACAGATGGAAATAAGCACAAGAACATGATGAGTAATATGACATCTCAAAGATGTAACTTATCTTACGGTGCAAGTTGTTTTTCTTAAGGATCGTTACAATAGGTCGTGCTAAGAGATACCCGCGGTGCTTCCAAGGAATCATTTTGAGGCCCAAATGCCAAACAACATATTCCCAGTTCTGGTCCACATATGCTACCGCTGCACCTATAAATGCAAATCGATTACCCTTTGTGGTCCAGACATCATGGATCAGGGTGAACTTGGTGTCGAGATTCTGTTTGGAGAACAGAATAAACAAACAATGGAATCAGATTTGGTCCTCTCGCTAGCAATCACCAAAAAAAGGAACCCTCCAATTACTTACATTTAACTCTTCAAATACATGGGACTTCAGCACAGTATATAGATTCTTGGACTCGTCAGCCGACCATCGACGTCCATAAAGCACGGCTTTGGGGTTTGCAAAAAGGAAGGCAGCACGAAGATATGGATCTTCAATGCGAGTCCATGGTAGGGCCTGTCGAATCTGCCACATCATGATGATCTGGTTCAAGACTCGATTGACAAATGTTGGCTTGAATTGGAGTTTCAGGTTACTGCCAACTTGGTCGTTATCCTGCAAAGCTCGTGTTTTGGCGACCGAGAGTGGTAAGATAATCCCAGCCTTCTTGGCTTGTTCACGATTCAAACAACCTTTTGGATTCTTATCCGCTTGAGTTGAACCATCGCGATGGGTCTTTAGATTCCCATTTGATAATAACTGTCCACGATAGGTTTTATCACACCACCTACACTTAAAATTTAGCTTTGTTCCATGCGGGTCACCCTCCTTCCAAGTTGGTGGGTGAAAGTAATCAAGTGGGTGGGCAAAGCCATCGCCCTTTGCACTCTTTTCTCCAAGTCTCTTCGGATTTAAAATTGAAACAGAATCAGAATCTTGATCGTAGTTGTAGGTCTCATCATTAGATATAACCTGTAGATCAAGGTGCAATGTAGAAAATTACGTTTTCAATTAGTCATTCCATTGACCAATCATCATGGGATGCACTCACCTCAACAGTGTTGCTAGCTGATTTTCCAGCCTTGCGTTTTTTCGGCTGGGTGACACGGTTGGATGTATGATCAGCCGGAGAGGGAGGCTTTCGACGCTGCCTCTTGTTCTTCGACTTGGCCTTCGCTTTTGAAGGGGCAGCACCCTGAATATATTCTTGATCGGATGAAGCTTCTGGATGGTGTTTTTGTACTTGTGCAGTTGCTGGGCGGTTCAACCTCACCCGGGAGTCTGATGCTGGTGTCACCATATTAGGTGCCGTCACTAACGAGGAAGCACGACTTGAGCGGCGGAGTTGGGTATTTGACTGATTGGTTGCGTAGCCGGGGCCTGCATTAGAATCAGAGACTTCACTATCTGGGTGGCCTGACACTGAGGCTGATTTGTGGGATTGAGGATTGGTAGACATGATCAATTTTTTATGATCAACTGGATGGAGGGCTTTGGAGCTTTGTATGATTTTTCAGTGAGCCAGAAGATTGGGTGCTGGAAATGGAAGATACGGTTGTTTAGGTATGATTCCAGGACCAGTTGCCCCCTATGAAAAGCCACTGGTAGGCTATGTACTACATACTGGTTTGGATTCTTTCAAAAAACATCTCTCTCATCTGGTTAGGGCTGTTTCACCCCTGGATAACGGAAGAATTTCCTTGCTATCCTGAATGATAATTCGTTATTATTCTTTATCGCTATCCAACTGGATATTTTGTTATCTGGCGGTGATGTGCACTACGCTACTCATTTTATGAACAAAAAAAAAACCTCCCGCTTCTTTACGGCTTGGGAGTGCATAACACCCGCTACGGTTAAATTTGATGTAGCTGGGCCACCCCTAAGGACTATACATTACTGAGATAGTGCAGATAACGTAGAGTAGCGTAGAGACCCAGTGTTGTCATAGGCGATACTGAATACTTGTCTCACTTTCCAAAGACGATACATGTGCATTGTCTCAGGAAAGTGAGACAACACAAATGCAGTATTTTTGGGTATTCAAATTCTGAGACAATACAAATAAACGCCTGATACCGTATTGTATTGTATCTGTTGCACCATTGTCAGTACATCATATCTCTTCATTGCTATAGCACTTCCCTTCCTATCAACTTCTTTGCCAACAGAACTTGTTCTCTCCCTTCCTTTTAATTCATTGCAAATCATGCAGAAAGCCCTCTGGTCTTTTTGCTATAGTAGGTCATGTTGGAATTCAATTCCTAAGTCTAGCCCTTGGAAGAGGAGAGCCTTGGGTAAGTTATACTTTAATGTATAAACTTCCTAGAACAAACACTTGTGCTGATCATTAATGTTTGATCATGTAAAGAGATAAGCTGTTCTGCAGATGATCATGCAATTGCCAAGCTTAAAGCTTGTGATTCAGGAGATGACATCAATGATGTCATAACTCTAAATGATGAAAATTATCAATCATTGAACTCCAAGTGAGTGTTGAGGATTGTGATCAGAGGAAAAGGAACATATGATTGTTGACCATTCCATCTTCCTCCTCAAAATTCATCATCTTTAGTTCACATCAAATCTCCCCAAGTTATACATAACTTATCAATTGTATCTCTCTACGTAAGACTGGTGAGTAAGACCCTTTCCTTATAATTAAGGAAATATAACATTGAGCAATAAAACATTAATTAATGTTTTCTGCTTTGTATAATATTTAGAAATATTAAACAAAAGCCAAATGTCGTATTGAAATTATCTTTACTAGATTTATTGATCTAATCTTTGTAAAGTAATTCTCTTATCAAGCATTTAATATTAAGAAAGAAAGAATAAATTGAATAAAAACTCATTAAGTTTTTCTTCTGATTATTAGCTCATTACCGCTATTACCAACGCTGCCACAGATACAATACGCTATGTGTATCATGGAGAATTCTGCAAAGCTGCATGGCCAAAAACCAAATTTGTTGAATCTGCTTGCAAATAAAAGCAGATTGGTCAGATAGTTTTTTTTTATTGGGGCTCAGATACATAGTGATACATGGCAGATACGGGCAGATACCGTATCTGTGGCAGCGTTGCTATTACTCAATAAACTATTATCTTTTATCCTGTTATAAGTGCTATTACCCTTGCAGACTGCTATTCTGCCTTTGGGTAATAACCTAACTTTTCTTTCTCTTTTATTTATAAAACTATTCAGTTGTATTTTACTTATAAAGAAATAAAAAAAAATCTTTCAGGTCATATACAACTTGTTTCTCTTCTGATGTTCTCATGCAGACATTGACATCAATCACACTCTCTTAGTTTCTACTTCTTTTGTCTTTTGAGCCATCATCTTGTTGTTTTGTTTCTCTCCTGTTGTTGATTACCTTCAGTTTAGATTCTTTTTTATTCATCCATTGTATTTCTTATTCATTTAAAACTCATAAGAAATATATCCTTCAGCTTGACCATTCACAAATTTTTGGTGAAAATGCCCAGAAAGATACTGTTTTAGGCTCTTGCTGAGAGGGCTTAAGTGCTTGCAGACAAGACTGAAGAAGGGCTCAAGTGCTCCTTCAGGAACGATTTAAAAGAATAGAGAACCAATGGTTTTCTTTTATTTCTTAGTATCTAGTGACACAAATAGTCTAGAGATGGGCGGGGATAATCCGCCGCGGATATCCGCTATCCCCTGGCGGATACCCGCTAGGGCCAGCGGATACCCGCCAGCGGGTGCGGATTCAGCTGCGGATGGCCGTTTTTCCGCCCAGACCTGGCGGATATCCGGGTATCCCTTGGGATACCCGGTGCCAAGAGAGGCCATACCGCCGGGAGGAATTCCTCCCGACGAGAGGGTACACAATCCAGCTTGCCGGGAGGGATTCCTCCCGACAAGCTGGTTCAAAAACCAGTTTTTTTTTTCTTTTTTTTTTTGAAAAAAAAAACACTATCCACCCTTAAAAGGGGGCGGATATCCGCGGATATCCGCGCGGATACCCGCCAGCGCCAGCGGGTATCCGCCAGCGGATGCGGATGCGGATGCGGATGCGCAATTCCGCTGAAAATGTGAGCGGATATCCGCATCCGAACGGATATCCGGATGCGGAGCGCCCATCTCTAAAATAGTCTAGATACAAAAAGGCATGAGTTGTGGGAGCTAAGGACAATGCATAATGAATAAAAATAACAAACCAGTCTTGAAAACAAATGAGCGACAACTGTAAAAAAAAGAAAGAGAATGAGTGAAATTTCAACACAAAGACTAAAAGCAAGGGGAGAAATTTTATAGCTGAAAGAGACAAGTACTCAGGCTCTAGTGGAGGAGTTATCGTGGTAATGAGAGACTATAAGTAGATCCATGTGATTCTATCATGGATAGATTGTAAAATCAAGTCAGATTTGAAAAGGATAGCAGTGGATTTGTTTTGGGATGAGTGGACTAGAGATCAACATTCCAACACTTTTCAAAAGTAGACTGTAGTGCCAATGATCCTACTAGTTACAACACTCTTGATAGCAGAAGCACATTATTCTAGTAACAGCAGAAATGAATTTCACACTAGAAAAAAAACACTCAACTAATTATTCTAGTAAATGAGAAATTCATTTTGGGAACTACTGAATACATACAATCAAAGATGTGACTCTGGAGAGTCTTGCATATCTTTCCTCATTGGCTAATCTTTGTGCACCAAGAAGTGATATTTGGGACTCCCAAGCTGATTGAATGAGCATTGTTTTTTTTGGCACTAAAAAAGGAGAAGAAGTAGTAGTCAGACCTGTGAGGAAATCCCAATGGGTATATATGCTCATCATCATTTGAGAAGTATTCAATTACTGCTCCTCACATCATGGACCTCAAGGAACTTCCTACAAGCTCACAAAATCCTTTTTAATTGTTTTTTTTTTGTAGGTTGTTCTTGATCTTGATCAACTAAGTGGAGGCAGCAAAAAGAGGAGAATGAAACAAGAAAAATAAATGTGAGGTCTGGTCACACTTTAAAAAGGGGGAGGATTGTTGTTTGAAAGGTTGAGCTATATCTAGCTACAAGTCCAGCAGAGCTTGGCCAGATCAAATTCATTCTACATAACAAGTTGACCTGATTCTTGAACCTTCTCTTGCAATCATCTAGCTATCATTGCTTCACATCACCCTTATTCTTTTCTCCCAACCAACTCTCACTCAGCTTATAATATACCAGCAAGTAGTACAGTATATTGTTACTGCCCCCAGGGACGACATATTTCTTGAATGCATTTTGACTTGTGAGCAATTAGCTTGGCCATCATCGGCAGCGGAGGTTGGCACTGCGGCGAGTCTGGATGTTCCTGGGCACCCACGACTAGGGTTCTGATCAGGACCCCGCAGATCCAGCAAGATCCGGAAAACCCGTAAGCCAGATCAGGGCTTGGGATTGACCCAGAGAGATCCGGCATCCGGTCGGATGCTGAAAATGTTGAGATACTGTGACATGACAATGACTGCTACATGTTCCCCGTAGTTATTGTGCTTCTTTCTTCTTTCACTTCTTTCATTTCTCTCATGTCACACTCTGTGACATTCAGTTGTTTTGTCTCAGTTCATATACTGGATTCATGTGTGCCTGGGAGGATTTCCTTTTCCTCATCCTTTCCAACACACATGTCTCCAGGTATGGTCTTTTTTCCTTTTTCTTTCTCTTTCTCTTTTGTTATGTTGAAATGAACTCATATCCTTTCCCACACACATGTCTCCAGGGTGTCCATCTCAACAGAAAACCCCCAGAAGTCGGGGATTTGCGGGGATTACCCGCATCAAACCCGTGCGGGGGCCTAGCTGCTGCCCTCAGCTCCAACTTTCCCGCCCTGAACCCCCTTTTTTTACAGCAGAATACATAGCAAAAAAGCATAAAAAAAATTATCCTAGAGATCCGGAGAAACCCGGCTAGGTGCCGGATATCCGCGGGGTCAGGGTTCGGGATGCACAGAATCCGGCTCCGAGGCACCGGGTCGAAACCCTACCCACGACAACCGATCGGAAGTCCAAGGAATGTTTTCTACATACAGCATACATCCGATTAGACGCTCTCGTGCCACTAGATTTGTGGGCCTGGATGGTGCCGATTGTGATCTCAGTTGCCAGGCTGTTGTATATTGTACACATCGGCAGTGCAGTCAGCCTTACACATATTTATAAGGGCTGGTGTGCCCTCCCTAGCTGATCTCGATCTGAAAATCCGATGTTCAGACATTAAGGACAGTACACTGTATGGACCACCGTGTCCGCCACCCCTTTTCTGGGGCACTGTATATACATATCTGCAGGTCATCCTTCTGGGAGTGATCCTATCAGAGGTTGAAATCTCGATCGTTCAAGCTTCAAGCCTTCACGCCCAGTGTGTCTTGCATCGTACAAGTTAGGTGCTCTGATAACCCACACAAGACGAAGAAGAGGCATATATCCTCTATCGATCGTCTCGTTTCCTCGGGAGTCCCTCCGCAGAATGGTGCTAAATTCATTGAGAGTCATGAGACTGAGACATGAGCATGAACAGTCGGACGGTCTCGCCATCGATCGCACCTTGGAACTGAAGCTCGCCCTCCTCCCTCTCTCGACTGACTAAAGATCCGATTCCCAATCCGAGGGGCAGTCAGATCACCTGACTTGACAGCTTCCACATCCCGATTGGTCCGCTGACCAGCATCAGTTATCTCAGCATTCATCCCATGAGTACATACATAAATCAGCTTCGCCACTCTAATCCAACAATCTCATCTCAACTCTCGACACACGAAGCCAACATTCGCTTCGTACGTATTGCTAAATATGTACATATCTTCAGATGCGCTGATATCAATATCTCAACACGCTTCCCCTCAATCAAGACGCGAAGTGGCGGATCAATTTCCAGAAAGGAGTGGTAAGATTCTTGACACATGAAGTCATCACGGAGGGCCCGCCACGATGACACCAAAGGTGCTGTAAATAATATGTAAGGAAGAAATGGCGAGGAGGCAAGATGGCCGACAAGACCTGCTGGTTATGTGACCAGGGAATTGCTCGCCTGTGAATGCGATTCGGGCATGGGCACTACAAGACAGCTCATCTATCGGGTATCTTACCGGCCGTCGTTTTAGCTGCTCTCTCGGGCCGGGAGGCTGAGATGTTTTTGTACATAGGCTTCCAAGATCCGATCCGCTTAAAATGTCAAAACTGTGTATTTATCAACAACAACACATCAAGCTCAGTCGGAACGTCTGTCGGAGAGGTCTGGACCAGGAACCAGTGGATGTAAAGATGTAGTCGTCGGTCACCTGGAGAGATCACTTCTATCAGCACATCGAGGGAACCACGAGCTGGAGGAGATGATCGATTGGCGAATGGCTTCATATAATGCAGCGGTACAAAGGGGACGCTTCATCTTATCAATCTGATCTGATCTGACAACCAAGCCGTTAAATAAATATGTGCGATAGGAGAGGAGAAACTATTGCAGTTGAGATCCAAAAGATACCTAAACCCACTCAGAATGCTGGAAAGACTCGCCGCGAGGTGTGTGTGTGTGTGTGTGTGTGTCTTCCCTGATCGGCTCACAGAACACCCAAGAAAAACAGATATGAAAACTGGCCAAAACAAGCCAGCCAACACCACGCTTTTCTTATCGAACACCGCCATCTGATTCCGACTAATGATCTCCTGCTTGTTGATACAACATACAAATTCAGACCATTCTTATATTTATATATGCCTCCCCCCTCCCCCCTCCCCCCAACAGCCCCAATGCATTCGCTGTTGCTTCAGTCACACAACCGAAAAAAAAAACAATATGATTGCGCTTGATTACATACATATGTTGCATGTATGTGTAGTACTCGTTCGAGTGGTCGAGGGCCCGCCTACATAGCCGCTTAAAAATGTGTAGA